CAGAAGTGTCACAGTCAAATAAAAGTCTCGTGTCCATCGACGACCTCAACCATTCTTTTTCAATCACAAACATCCAAACGTTTATCTCAGCAATTTTATTAATTTAATAAGAAAAGCACGCACCACACAGAGAATAATTAAATATGAAAATACAAAACATACAAAAGAGCGACATGAAACAACTGGAAGGATGCAAAGATTGGGAATTCTTGATTTTTTTATTACGTCAAATTTTTGTCATTTATCTATTAGATAGCATATTGAGAAAATATTTAGTTTTTAAAATGCTAAGTTTCAAATTTAAATCCTTTAAATTTTAATATAACTGAAAGACTAAGACTCACGGATTGACCTTCACAAACTGTTTCAATTTCTTTTGTCCATTAGTTAGCTGTTGGATCTCGATCATTTCCATTTACTTTCTATTTACAGTAATAGTGCTCTTCTGAATCATGTTCATAATCCTGATGTGCTGTAATGAATAATTTAAAATTGTATTCTTCAGAAATTTAGCACTTTGGATATTCACCGATAGTTTGTTTGAAGCTGAATATAAACTATGAAATGAGAAGTTATTATTAAGTGTGCTTTAAAATAACAATGATTTCGAGGAAGTATGTTGTAACTGTAATAAATTATATCGTTGTTCTCTTTGTAATTGTATATAAACTTCCTGTCTATTCTCAAATTACAAATATTATATTTAAGTGAAAAGAGTTATTTTCAAAAAATCGAAATCAAAAACTTGGTTAAATAATACTACTTAATAATAGGTTGTCTATAGAAACATTCAAATTGTAGTGATGAACATATTCACTGATACGATCAGAGGTTCCTCAAGTTTAGGTCTGTGATCTTGTGCAACTCATGGCACTAAAGTATTGTTGCAAAGAAAGTTTCTAAAAAACTCTTCTTGTAGAATTTTTGAATTTTGCTATGATCGTTTAGTTACAGCAGCAGTGAATGAAGATGGATCAAACTATGCAAAATCCGGTAAGCGAATTGTGAAATATGCGAGATTATTTTTTTTCCAACTTCTCTAAAATATGTTATGTTGGAACTTACAATGGTCCGATTCTAATAATAATGTTGATTTTAAATATTCTTCATAATAACCAACTTCTTAATAATTGATGATAGCATGCCCGAATATCACTGTCTCATAACAAAGCTACATGCTTATCAGTTCAGAAACGAAAATTAACCATACCAAATGTAATAAGTTACGGAAGAGATTAAGGGAAATGAGAGAATTAAAATTATGTACAACTTTGGATAGAGAGAGTGGTAAACGCCAAAGAGTGTCATTTTGCAGTTATACATGAATCAGAACTGTCCCTGGAATATCAGATATTGTTATGATCTGAAAAGGAATTGAATTCATAAGGACAAGCTGCTTGGTAAACGTTACAAACATTGCATCTCATGGTCACTGTTCTCCACTTTCAAAAATATTTTTTTGCATAGCCTGGTATAACCTCTTTTTCGCAGCATTATTCGTATGATGAGATGACATGACAGTCGTAGAACTGAAAAAAATAGACGTCTGTATCGTCAGCAAGTGAAGTCATCGTTTCCGACAAAATGCATCCCATTGAGGGCATCAATGGAAGGAAGATCTAACGATTAGTTTCGTCATTATTTCGTCGTCCTTGGTTCATCCTGTTAGCCATAATTTAGGGTAATTGAATCTAACACGAGAAGATAAAAGTGTAGTTCTTCACATACAAAAAAGAATGGAAGGATGAAATTTGTTCCTACATTTGGCTTCCCTTCAAACTTAGTCATAATTATTTCTCAAAAACAACACTTTACATAGATATTTACCGTATTTTTAACCAATTTCAGCTATTACGTTTGCAAAGATATCATATCATATGAATGATGTAACATATTATAACTCATAAATTTCTAAACAGGTCGGTTTTATTCACAATTAATTACTAACTTTCTCTTTCTGCCTTGTCACTTTTTTAACCGTAATTATTGAAAGTTAGAAAAAAAACACAAAGTTATTTTATAAAAAATTTACTTTAAAGAAGAAAAAAACACCATCTCATCTCCGTCTACTAATTATTTCCACAAAACTAAAGTTTTTTTTTT